TATTCCCTATTGTTTGGATATTAATTCCCTCTTTTCTTCTTTTTGACTGATATTTAATTTCTCTATCTATTGATCCCAAAGTTGCATTAATGGTGTCTTACAATGGGTGGGGTGTCTCTGGGGAAACTGTCAAACATTGAAATATCGCATTGAATGCTTACTCAGATATGCACTTTGCTTTGCTTTACCACCACTCTGCTGTCTTATTTACAACACTTAGTTGCTGCTTTGAGCTAAATGCAAACATCTTGGGAACATTTGAACTTAATGCTAACATGCTCACACTGACAATGTTCGCCATGTTCGCCAACTTAGTTTTGAGCGTTGGCATGCTCATTTGCATTTGCATTCTAACATTTGCTAATTAGTGCTATATACAAAGTAGAGCTAAGGCTGATGGGGATGTCAGTAGCCTTGCAGCTAATGATTAGCTGAGACCTAATTATGTTTGACGTTTGTCTCTTTGTGTTTCTTCCCTTTTTGTCTGTAGACGGGCACATCTACGGCTGTGTTTAGAGCGCTTGAAATCCCTTGTTCCCTTGGGACCAGATGCTAACAGGCACACCACCCTCAGCCTGCTGATGAAGGCCAAAGATCATATCAAGGTGTGTGTGTATATGTGTGTGTCTGGTACTCACCTAATCAGTGTGAAGAGGGCCATTTATTGAGCGCTGAGATGGATCTGTGTGTGTTAGTACTTTGTGTTTGAGGGAATAAAATGTCTTAATAAAGCCACTGAGGGAGCGCATGCACACACACCGCAACATTTTTCACAACTTCTCCGTAAGTGTTTTTTTCTCTTCCTACCCTGCAGAGGTTGGAGGAGAGCGATAGGAGAGCTCAGCACACTGTGGAGCAGCTACAGCGGGAGCAGAGACACCTGAGGAGGCGTCTGGAGCAGCTGGGGGTGGAGAGGACCCGCATGGACAGTACCGGCTCCACTCGGTCCTCCGACAAGTCCGACTCTGACCAAGGTGAGCCTTCAAACGGGCTGTTCAAAACCAGAAGAAATCATTATCGTGCTCTAAGAGCCAGATATCTTCTTTTTAGAGAAAGGATTGCTGAATCTGTCAAATAAAGTTTGTCTTTTCAGGTTTTTTTATTATTTAAATTCATTCTTTAAGTAAAATGACACTTATAAGTAACAAATGAATGTCTTGATTGATGGTATGTGTGCACCATACAGTATTCTAGTGTTGTGTTGTACTGATTTCAAGGAAATTTCACTGTACTCAGTCTCAGGACTGCACTCCACCAAAATAATCTGTAAGAACATGTTAAAATGTGGTAAGATTTGGCAATACAGAGTGTGGCCACTCACGTCCAGTCAATTCTTTATTAATGCAATAAGCAAATTTGTAACTCTCTGAAACAAGTGGAATTATTATTATCAGGATTTCAGATGTAGTTCAGAACAAATCAGGCAGGCTACGATCCTCTATCACAAATATGTGTCTTAAAAGACTACAAGCCTGCTTGGATCTAAACAATCAAAAACTACATTGCCAAACCAAATGATCTGATTTGGCAATCACAGTTAAGCATTAAAGGGGAACTTGGCAACTTTTTCAGCTTAATAAACCCGTTTAGAAATCATTTGGATGGTTAAATGGCCTG